GCCCGTAATCTCTGCCTATCATTATGCTTGACAGGCGTAAGAGTTTGTGAATTATGTCATGTATTTTAACAAGGGCAGAAAAAATTTGCTTACCACATTTGCTGATGAAATTCAAACCGCTTATATGCCCATTTATTATACTGGAAATAAAAGCGAGAACATGCATTTTAAGCATACGCTTGGAAGGTCCCAACATCATATTTACATCAAAAAATGGTTGTCGAGTTTTCAGTCTAAAAATAAAATAAAATACTAAAGAAACAAAAAAAATACAATGTAGGGAACTTCTTACTTAAAAATCTAGACACACGGCGGTGTGTCATTCACGTTCGGAAAAGAAAAAGGCGAAATGTAATGTTCGTGTAAATATACTCACCGGCAGTCTATACATGTAGGTACACTAAGCATTTCGAATTAATTTTAAACCACCTATAACTCAAAAACTATTAGTCCTATATACTTGTAATTTTGTATACTTAATAAGGTCTAGAATCTAGATTATAATTCTATCATCGTTGTGTGAATGTACTTACTGTTTTGAATTGTTATTTCTCTTCAAGTGAATTCTATTGCAATTCTCTTGAGATATATAAACCACAATTATCAAAGGATAAACTTTTTTCTTAAATTATTGACTACCTACAGAAATATAAATTATATAAAGGGGACCAAGTTCGATACCAAATGACTTTTATTGTTGTTGGCTACCTTTTTACTTTTATGTTTTTGGTGGTATTACTTTATTTGAAATAGGAAATACACATTGTTCCGATGCTTTTCTTAAAAGGCCGATCGTTATATTAATTTCGAGTGATTCGAGAAAAATTTCTAAAGAACTACGGGCAGGCGGGTTGTGCGTGCATGCGTGCGTCGGTGCGTGTGTGCAGGCGTGCATGCGTGCGTGCGTGCGTGCGGAAGTGCGTGTGTGCAGGCGTGCATGCGTGCGTGCGTGCGTGCGTGCGTGAAGGCATGCGTGCGTGCGTGCGTGCATGCATGCGTGCTTACGTGCGTGCGTGCATGCGGGCGTGCGTGCGTGCGTGCGTGCATGCGGGCGTGCGTGCGTGCGTGCGAGCAGGCATGCGTGCGTACGTGCGTACATGCATGCGTGCGTACGTGCGTGCGTGCATGCGGGCGTGCGTGCGTGCGTGCGTGCGTGCGTGCGTGCGTGCGTTCGTGCGTGCTTGCGTGAGTGCGTGCGTGCTTGCGTCCGTGTGTGCGCGAGTGCGTGCGTTCGTGCGTGCGTGCGTGTGTGTTTGTGTGTGTGCGTGCGTACGTGCGTGCGTGTTTGTGTTTGTGTGTGCGTGTGCGTGTGCGTGTGTGTGTGCGTGTGCATGTGCGTGTCCGTGTGCGTGTGCGTGTTCGTGTGCACGTGCGCATGCGTGTGCGTGTGCGTGTGCGTGTGTGTGTGCGTGTGCGTGTGTGTGTGCGTGTGCGTGTGCGTGTGTGTGTGCGTGTTCGTGTGCGCGTGCGTGTGCGTGTGCGCGTGCGTGTGCGTGTGCGTGTACTTGTGCGTGTGCGTGTGCGTGTGCGTGTGCGTGTGCGTCTGCGTGTGCGTGTGAGTGTGCGTATGCGAAGCGCGTGCGCATGCGCGTGCGCGTGAGCATACCCGTGCGCAATCGTGGGTGTGTGCGTGCTTGTGTTTATGTGTGTGTGTGTTTATGTGTATGTGTGTTTTATGTGCGTGGGTGTTTAAGAACTAAGAACTTAGAAGCGTCAGTAGCCTAATGGCAAGGCGAGGACCGCGAACTCGAAAGGTCGTGAGTTCGAATCCGCCATTCGATTACTGTCGTGAACTACTTCTAACACACATTTTAAACAGAAGTGGTCAAAGGGAATATTAGTAATGTTTAATAGCATTACTAGTATTTAAAAAAAAAACGTGCTCAATTATAGCTTCTACCTCGTTATAATCAAGGCTTAGTATTTCAAAGGGTACATCATCATCATCATCATCATTACAGCCTTTCATAATTCCACTGCTGAACATAGGCCTCCCCCAAGGAATGCCACAAAGCACGATCCTGAGCCACCTGCATCCATCGACTTCCTGCATGTCTTACCAGGTCGTCACTCCATCTAGTAGGGGGTCGCCCTACACCCGGTACAAGGCTGCCACTCTAGAACCTTTCTTTCCCATCGGTTGTCGGTTCTTCGAGCTATATGGCCAGCCTACTGCCACTTCAGCTTACTAATCCGTTGGGCTATGTCGGTTATTCTGGTTCTACTGCGGATATCCTCATTCCTAAGTTCATCACGCAGAAAAACTCCGAGCATAGCCCTCTCCATAGCTCGCTGAGCGACCTTGAGCTTTCTCATACGGCCAGCAGTGAAGGCCCATGTCTCAGATCCGTAATTCATCACTGGCAACACGCACTGGTTGTACAATTTCGTTTTCAGGTTTTGAGGCATGTCTAACGAGAAGATGTGTCGTAGTTTTCCGAACGCTGCCCAGCCGAGTTGAATCCGTCGATTGACCTCTTGGTCGAACTTGGACTTACGAGTACCTAGTCGGACTATTTTTCCCAGGTAAACATACTCGTCAACAACTTCGAGCTTAGTGCTCCCAACAACTACTGGCATAGGTGTTACATAGACGTTAAACGTGATTTTTATTTTGTCCATGTTCATCTTAAGACCTATACGTTGGGAGACACTATTGAGGTCATTGAGCATAGTGCTTAGTTCCTCCAGCGATTCTGCCATAAGCACTATATCGTCGGCAAATGGAAGGTGAGTAATGTACTCGCTATTGATGTTAATACCGCATCCTTTCCAGTCCAGTAGCTTGAAAACGCCTTCCAATGCAGCGGTGAAGAGTTTCGGGGATATAACGTCACCCTGTCTTACACCTCTCTGCAATTGGATAGGTTTCGTTCTCTGATGCTGTACTCGGATAGCCATCGTAGCTCTACTGTACAAACACTTCAGCACTTCTATATACCGACAGTCAACTTGGCATCGCTGAAGGGACTGCAGCACCGCCCAAATATCGACGGAATCAAAGGCTTTCTCATAGTCCACATACGCAAGGCAAAGTTTATACTCCTCTGTCTTCTGTGCACTCTGCCGCAGGGTAAGTTTTGCTAAGATTTAATGTCAGCAAATTTCGAGACAGCCATGTCATAACTGAGTGCAACGCGGACTCGGCATATGATCTCGCCTCCTCACAACTCTGTTCATGAATAATTACTGCCGTGTCGTCAGCATATGTAACAATTTTGCTATATTGTAGTTTTAATTGAAACAGATCGTTTATATATATCAGGAACAGAGTCAGACCAAGGACACTGCCTTGCGGCATACCATATTCAATCAATTTACCACGACTAGTGTAATTTGCAATCGTAACATATTGTTCTCGATTACAAAGGTAGCTCTTAAACAATTCCAGTACAATGCCCCTAATTCCAACACGTTGTAATTTGGAGAGAAGAATATTACGTTAGTTTCCCTTTAATTCTCAAGATATTGCAGTATTAACAGTAGAGATGTGTAACTCAGGAGAGATAGATACAAAAGATATGAATCAATCCGTTTCGATCAATCACTCTTTATATCCATCCACATCCGATCAGTGTAACAGGGTATCTTTACAACTCATTCACTCACGGCGTCTTTTTACTTTCTCTACCGAACATCTGTGTCGCAAGCCACATTTTGCACGCTGCTTTGTATTATGCCTCGGCCGCGACGGCCATGCCCATGTCTCATTAACAGCCACTAAGTACTGACCGATAATAAACTACTTTTAATGCAATAAGCTCAAACATAAACAAACATAAGATACGCAGATGTGTTACTTAGAAAGTTTAATGTATGTATTCAAACATTGCACATGTAAAATGTACACACAATAATATAGAAGCTACTGGTTCGGGAAATTTCAAGTAAGACGTCATTATATTTTACTAACTTCGACTTACAGAGGACGAAATTCGAGTTGTATAAATAGGTACTATCAATACCTCGTATGAAAATAACATTTTGTTCGAGTTACAAAGGCTTAATTATACGATTTAGGAATTCAGCGGAAGGGAATGGCGATTTTTCCGACTTACTGGAGATTACGACTTAACGAGGCTTGAGTTATCGAGATTCCACTATCCATCATATGTATTACAAAAAAGATATCAAAGACATTTCTTTTCATTACTTGATATAGAAAGGTCAGACGGTGCTTATATCTCATTAAAGGTGCTAAGTGATTTGTTTTGTAATGTAGATCGGACAATTTGAAACATATGACGTTGATGATACACGGAAAGTATATTTTTTCAAAGGTGCTCTGATAAGTAGTCTGTTTTTTTTGATAATGAACAGTTGGCATAAAAGCGGCTTAGAAATTTTATTATTTATCACTCGACACGGTGTTGTTTTCCTAAACCCACTATGTAATAACACACTACGCCATTCTTTCTACCATTGATACACTTCTTCAACTTACTGCAGTGACTGTATAGTGAGTAACTAATTACAACCTCCCTGGATTTCAAACCCTTCCACTTCGTTTCTTACAGACAAGCTATATATTCCCTTCTCCTTTCTTAAACATCCGCAAACCCTTTTCCATTCTTCTCAATGGTCACTAACTTGTAGCTATTTTCATTTGCACTTCTCGCCGGGTGTACGCCTCAGTATTTATTCTCAGAACACTTATTTTCAAAGTGATAATAAAAACGATTTAGCTTTGTGTTTTACAACCAGCTGATTGCCTGTCAGCAAACCCTACTTGGAAAAAGGACTAAAGACAATGGTGAAATTGAAATGTACTAAGAAGAAAATAATAAATTGGGAGTATGGTAGGCGTTAGATTGATTGATACTGTCACGGAGATAAGAATGTAACTAACATTTGTGAATCCGGGGTTTGCATCGAATGCATTTATAAATACCTACTAGGTATTTGGTACAGTAATTCTTTAGACTAAAATTACATGATGACCGTGAATTTTGTTCTGGATAAGAACTAAATGCATAGTCATCATGGTTGGTATTTAATACTTACTTTATGTGCTGTATAGAATCTAATCTTATCTCAAAAGTTTCTGGATCTTTAGTCAGAGTTACGCCCATGTGAGCTATAATTTCATCAACTGATACAACTATATATTCCTTTAATACCTTTCCCGTATGAGTTACAGCTTCGTATTCTATATATACCTAAAATAACAATAAAGGTTGGACTCGCAACCGATTACAGAACTTGAAATTTATTAATGTTGTAGTAAATTTTACCTCTAAATTGCTGAGACCAACAATGGTATCTATTTTGCGCAATTTACCATCCTTTTTGCAAGTCGCAAATGATCTTCTATAAATTCTGTGATAGTTTTTGTATTTAGTCCAATGGAATATAATTTTCTAAAACATAATTACATATGTGTGTTAATATTTTATCCATCCTAAAGCAGGACTCTCTCAATTTGCCTGTATGTGTAATATATATATATAAATAAAAAAAAAACACTTTAAGGGGGAAAAATAGTGGATGAAAATTTAAATTATTTGGAAAAAATTATAGTTGTTTATTTGACTTGTAACAAATTTTAGTCCACTTAAAAGAGTAAGAAAATATTTACATCAGAAACTATGAATGATAAAATGTTTTCCAGTCTGTGCCATCACTTCATATGCCATTATGTTAAATATATTTCATTCTTATTAGATTTTAAAATTGTTAAATTTTACTTTTATTATCGTATTATTATATATTATTTTTAACTTATACTATGGGAGAGACCTATATTCAGCGGTGGACTTGAAATGAGTTATAATGATAGTGATACTTGTTAAGAATAAGTTATAGTTTGCACATTCAAATTCATAAATTAATGTATATAATCGTCATCATGTACATCTGGTACCTTGCCACAAAGCATTTTTTTTATAGGATAGGGTGACAAACGAGCACACAGTCCACCTGATTGTAAGTGGTTACTGTGACCTATAGACATCTACATCAATCCTCAATAAAGACTCAAGATGCAGATGCGTTGTCACCCGTGAGGACTAAGATGGAATGCCTCTTTGCCAGTAAAAAGAGTCTCCGGTTCTCTACACTCACCATACGAAACACAGCAGCGTTAAGTTGCTATTTTACGCTGGTTTTCTGTGGGAGCGTGGTCCTTCCCCGGTCGAGCCGACCCATTCGTGCTACAACTATACTACTAATATAGCTGCAGCATGGCTCTACCACGTAAAGGTTAGGTAAAGGTGGTTCTTAGGCACCTGCTTTCATCGACTCCATGTGTGTTATATCATGTTATGTGCCTTTCCACCTGGTGTGGGGTCACGCAATCCTGCGCTTGCCCTACAAGTCTGTCACTCGAAAAACTGGTGTATACCCTGCTCTTAATTTGAATTAACTTAAATTAAGGATATTTTACCACTCCATTTATAGCTTTAATATTAAACTTAGGAGCCGACCATACAGTTTGTCCTTTTAAATGAACTCTCTTATTTATCTTCTCCAGTACATAATCTGCATATTCGTTGAGAGCGATTGTTTTTTCTTGGTTATATTTTCTGGAAAAAAACTGTCAATATAAGTTTGAAATTGCTTTCTTGTGACTGTATAGTGAGTAACTAGCTACAACTTCCCTGAATTTCAAACCCTTCCACCTCGTTTCTTACAGACAAGCTATATACCCCCTTCTCCTTTCTTAAACATACGCAAGCTCTTTTCCATTCCTCTCAATGGTCACTAACTTGTAGCTATTTTCATTTGCACTTCTCGCCGGGTGTACGCCTCAGTATTTTATCTCAGAACTCTTATTTTCGAAGTGATAATAAAAACGATTTAGCTTTGTGTTTTACAACCGGCCGATTGCCTGTCAGCAACCCTACTTGGAAATGGGACTAAAGACAATGGGGAAATTGAAATGTACTAAGAAGAAAATAATAAATTGGGAATATGGTAGGCATTAGATTGATTGATACTGTCACGGAGATAAGAATGTAACTAACATTTATGAATCCGGGGTTTGCATCGAATGCATTTATAAATACCTACTAGGTATTTGGTAGAGTAATTCTTTAGACTAAAATTACATGATGACCGTGAATTTGGTTCTGGATAAGAACTAAATGCATAGTCATCATGGTTGGTATTTAATACTTACTTCATATGCTGTATAGAACTCTATAGTAGACTCGATTTAAACTTTGGGTTATAATTTTGAAACTTAAAAAGTCTTTTTCACTTAATATACAGAAGTCAATACTATAATACCTACAGAAAATTCGCACTAGCTTTGTTTCCTGCATAGTACATTAGGTTATCGTTAATGTAATCTTTTAACCATTTATCCAAATTAATTTTCAGCAGGTTCAGTAATCCTGTATAAAAAAATATTTATGTAGTAAAAATAATCTGTGTAAATTGCACAATACTTTGATGGCTTTCGATATTTACCTACAACATTTGTTTCGAAAGGAAAAGGTTTATTTTCTTTTTGCTTATTTATAAACTATAAAAAATCACAGGTTTAAAATAAATATTATTAATATAATTTATTATACATCATTATTCATTCCATGCTATTGGAAACTCACCATAATCACAATGTCGCTTACGTCTAAATCAGACACAATGAGTTCAATCCACAGTTTGTCTCGTAATAGGCGATACCGTCCTTCCGCGGTGTACTGAACATTTCTTAGTAGAAATCTAGACATTTTAAAGTTCTTTATAATGCATACAAATAGATTCTGTTACAAAAGCAACTTCATACTACATTTAAAATAAATACTTATGTAAAAAATATACATGATTAGGATATTTCTTTAAATTTCGGAAAAGTGTGTAGAAAGAATTTGTTCATTTTTGGGTAGTTTACTTATCACTTCCAATACGCAAATAGGGTCTTGCAGATCAAGGTTTATCATTGAGATTAAATCCTCTTTTCTGAATTTTTTAAACCATCTTTCAGATACACTGTTCAGTCCAAAAATAATACAAGTTCCTACGAACTGCGGCGGATATACAATACTTTGAATTAACTTTATTGTTGGTACTTTTTTAACACTGCTATTGTAGATTCAAGTAGGTTATTAGTCAGAGAAATATACTGGCAGCTATTGCCTATGGCATATATATTACTTTTTATTCTTCGATCTGATGACTTTGATCTATTATGTTTTAAAATGAAGAAGTAACGGAAAGATGTTTTAAAAGACATGAAAAAAATATTATAATTAGTAGGTTACTATTTTTAACTTGTTGTCTTGATTATATTAATTTAAATAATTAATAAAGAAAAAGTCTTTAATTGCAACTACCATATGATGACCGTGACCAGATGTGAACCTGCAATCTTATACTGTGGCTGATGGTGATCAATAACTGTGGCTGCTCTAGAGTGCACTATGGCGCAACACTTCTATCAATAGACCTAGATCAAACGGCAGAAATTATTCAATACTTTTAAACTATTGTATAAAGAAATAAATGTGTACTGAATCTGACAAAATTTTCTATCTATATAATATCATGAGTCACGTGGTCTATACTAAAGGTTTATATAACGCATCTTTAGCCTTCTTCTATCTTTGAATTTGGTTATATATAAGTTGACTGTGAGGAATTTTATCACGCTAGTGGCATAAAAAGTAGAACATTTCAAAGAACTGCAATTATATATATGTCAAAAAAATAACAAAACATGGTTTCCATTTTGCGTTGACTACTGAAGTGGTTACGCCTACTCCTTATTTCTCCTATCATATTATGGGCTGTGCTTATTTCTCCCTAGCTTTTAATGAATGTACTCGTATGGTGGTGGTTCACGACTGTATTATAAAGGTGAATTCAACAGGTGAATGTTGGTTATGGAAGCAGCTTTGCTAGTAGGTAGTATCGGTTCTGCGCTCCTCAATCCTCCAACTTCATAATTATTGACAAATCGAATGGCATGTGTCCAATAGCAGGTTTAAAAGGGTGATGTACGAGACGTTCATTTTAGGGACAAAATAAATAAATAAAAATAATAACGATTATTATTAACATATACAGTTAAATACCTTATAATACGTAATAATTAAATTTTATCGGACACTTTGTCTACCAAAACCATTGAAATAAATTTAATTACGTGAAACCATTTGTCAAGCTTAGAGCCTATAAAAAAGTTAGTAAAATAGTCCTTCAAAATTTTGTTTTACCAAGTACTTACTCTACTTCTCCGAAGGTAGGGGCGTAGAATAATTTGGTCCAGTCTTTATAATAGATCATTCGTTCATAAGCGCCAACTATGTGGAGGTCGTTGAGAGATAGATTAACCGTGAGCACCATATTGGCTAAATCGTTGTGCAAGAAGTTAACGCGGAAGTGCGTATTGTTCCTAAGTTTCAAGCGGTGAAAATAGCTAAAAAATATTACATAATTATATAATAAGCAAAGACATCATACTCCAGATCTTTAATGATGCGACAACGAACGTCCTAAAGAATTCTAAACTGTATCAATAGTATTGTGATTATTGTATTGTAGGCCGACGCGTTATCCAGTAGAAACCAATATTACGCGAAAGTTTCTTAATGGCACGGAAGTATTTTTACGCTAATATACATTAGCTATTTTGATTTAGTTTATTCTCTAATTTTTTGAAGTATTCAATTTAATCATCGCGCTATGTTGAATTAATTATTTGTTTTAATTAATGTTACCACTGTAAAAATCAGTTTTCCTACTATATTTAGTACCAATTATTTTATTTATTTACTAGCTGTTTCTCGCGACTTGCTCGCGTGTAATTTAGGGTTTTAATTTTGTTGCGCGGAACCCTAATTATTTTTCAAAAATATAAGTAGACTATGTTACTCCATATAACATGAGCTATCTACCAGTGAAAGTCCCGTCGAAATAGGCCCAGCCATTTCGGAGATTAGCCGGAACAAACAGACAGACAGACGGACAGACAGACAAAAAATTTAAAAATTGTGTTTCTGTTATAGGTACCGTATATACTTTTATATGCAACTAGCTGTTCCCCGCGACTTCACTCGCGTGTTAGGGTGTTTATGTTTTAGCGCGGAACTCTAATTCTTTTTCTAAAATAAAAGTAGCCTATGTTACTCCTTATGAAATCAGCTATCAGCCAGTGAAAACCGCGTCAAAATCGGTCCAGCCGTTTCGGAGATTACCCGGAACAAACAGACAGACAAACAGGCAGACAGACCGACAGACAGACAAAAATTTTAAAACTTGTATTTTAGTTATAAGTAGCGTATTTACTTTCATATGCATTTAGTAAAAAACTGTTATTTTGACATTACAAACAGACACTTCAATTTTATTTGTATAGATTTAGATTAGTAAAAAGCTGTTATTTTGACATTACAAACAGACACTTCAATTTTATTTATTTGTATAGAGTATAGATTGTATAGACTTAAACCATAGAATACTATAATACATACACAATAGAACGAGGGAGTGGGCGGTGCCCGTGTAGTCGCTAACATGTCAATTCACACCTTTAAATATCAATACATCTCTTTTGACGTCACAGTCGCTGCCCAATTTTTGTGTCAAGCGTTGTTAGGTGCAATTTATTTCAAAAAAACGCCGAATCTTGCGATAATTACGCGTCGGAAAAAACAACCGGATGTGTATTTTGAATAAAATTGGTATATCCTTTCACCAGGAAGTCTAAACTATTTATATTTTGTGATTAATGGAAACAAAAAAAATGTTGATGTGTGAAAACAACGGTACTAGGGACATAACAAAGTTTCACTGATAGCGGTAAACCGGAAAATATTGTCGATTTTTAAATTGTAGCTGGTATAATAACAAGCTAAGTAGATGTGATCAATTTCCTCTTCCCCCCGGACCGCGCAAGCGTTTAGACGTGTGTTTCCGAGCAAAGTATTTTTTTTTTTGAAAAATAATTTTAAAATATAATTTTAATTTGCAAAATAATTCTGTAAAAGTGCCGCTAAGTACCAGGCGACCATAACGCTCGAGCACTAGTAGGTGCTACGCAAGTGTGAGACAACAACATACTGCAAGGTACACTGCGCGTACGTCACCGCCTTCTCACCTACGTAATCAACTCTGTCGATTGCCCTAACTCATAAGCGGTAGCGAGAGCGGCTATAAACTCCTACTTTCCTGTGGTCTCCTGGTACAATCAACTATGAACAAGTCTATGTCCGAATCGATTTTGTCTAATGAACCTATTGTTACCCCTCCAAATTTTGTCTTTGGACGTGACAAAAAAAAGAAGGAACAGGATAGTCCTGCTGATCTGGAGCAATCTGGAACAAATCTAGCTGTAGATTGAGTGATTTTTGTGCTTTTAAGGAAGAAATGCGGGATATGTTTGCCTCTTTACTTGCTGCACAGCAACAAGAATTTAATAAAATAAATCCGAGGTTAAAGTAAATTCAAGAAAGTAATACTAAAATTGAAACTTCTATAAAACATTTGCATAAAAAGAACGCAGAATTAAAAAAAGAAATTGAGAACTTAAAGCAACAAAAAAAGACACCAAATACATCACTTGGTATATATACCCTCGAAGATAAAATTGAGACCTTACAAAAAGGGGTTTAGAAAAGCAAACTTCGAGATTAAAAATGTTCTGTCTAAAATAGAAAAAGAGACAAAAGATGATCTGACTAAACTGGTCACCTTCTTATCCACCACTGTGGGCGCTAGCATTACAAAATTGGACATCTTCACAGACACAAAGAAAAAGACAGGGCAGAAACTTCGAGCAAAACACCTGGGATTTGTGAAGAATGAAAAAACCCCTGTTTTCGTGTCCGAGCAACTGACATCCAGAGCTTCAGGCCTGTATTTTCTTGCGCGGGATTTAATTAAATCAACATCTTTTACCTTCTGCTGGACGGCCTACGGTAATGTATATGTTAGAAAGAACGATAACTCTCCGATAGTGACAATCACTAATGAAAGTCAAATCAAACAGCTCTTCGACAGTGCATGACTAGATATGTATTTAGCATTTAAAATTAGTGCCCCTATTCTTTCATTCTCTGATATGTGTATTTTAATATTGGGAACACAGATTCATGTTATAACATGTATCATTGTAAGCAATGCCCGAATATACTCACTCACTCCACTCTCCAATACGTTCAAAACTACATGCACATACTCCAATTCAATTACACAAAAATATCACAATATATTCCCACCCGTTTACACTCACAACAATCACAATCGACACCCAAGATATCTACAAATTAGCCTACATAAACAAACTGTACACTTTGTTGTGACCGGTCGTTCTTATTTTTAAGGCGTGTGACCACTTCATTTAGATAAGAAATTCAGTCCAAATGTTTTTATATTAATGATGGATAACCTCAGAAACTTAACAGAAATTGACAATATTGCTGTGGTAAAATCTGTCACATGCGACATAGGGGACCTAAACAAACATATTGATCTTAACAAAAATGATCTTACACTAATACAACAAAATGTCAGTAGCATATACTGTAACTTCAATAATTTTAAGGTGACACTATCGGATCTTAACTGAGATACTGACGTTATAATACTTACGGAATGTCACCTTAACATAAATAAACCCGTCCACTCTTTGAGTAAATATACTCATTATGCTACTACCTTTAATTGTAACAAAAATGAACGAGTGGTCATCTACGCCAAATCTAAGTTAAACCCAATTTTTAAAGAATGATATTGCCTCGTGTATACAGTTGAATGTTTGTGGGTGTGCTATATTTGGTATTTACCGATCACCGTCACAAAAGAACGCATCTAATTTTATTGCCTCATTAAATAATTTACTGGAAACGTTAAAATGTAATAGAAATATTATAATCTCTGGCGATATAAATATAAACTTAATTAGGAAAAATAACGAAATATCTTACGAGTATAATAATCGGGCCTATTACCTTGACATGCTCTCATCACATGGTCTCTTACCTGGACACATACTTCCTATACGAGAAATGGGTTGCCTAGACAACTTTATCTTAAAAATTGATAAAACTAAACTGTCAGCTAGTATAGCAGTCTTAAACACTTCAACAACTGACCATGCTTCAGTCTTTATGAGCATCGCTAAAGTAAAAAATAGCTACCATTCTCCAACTATCATGACCTTTATTGACTTTGAAGAAGCTGCTGAGACACTTATAAACAAAAACCTATCCAATCTGTTATTTAGTGAAGAACCTAACTTTGTAATTGAACATCTTAATAATAAACTCAAATCATCCCTAGATGAGAGTGTTAGAATTAAGAGGATCTCGAGTAAACAACGGATTATTAAACCTTGGATCACCAGCGGTTTACTACGCTGTATAAGGAACAGAAACAGAATGCAACTTAAGTTAAGGTCTGACCCTTATAATGCAATACTAAAAATAACATTCAGTAGGTACCGTAATTACTGTAACAAATTAATTAAAAAACTTAAACGAAAATATGAATCTGAACAACTAAAAGCTACTCGTAATATTAAAAACCCTAAAGCCTTATGGCAATCAATCAAAGAAATAGCTCATCTTAACTTATCTAAAACTAGAAGCTGTGAATTACTTAATTCTCGAGGTTCTCCCATTGATACAGTAAACTATGCAAATGATTAGGTACTTTGCGAACGTCGGTAAGCGACTTGCTGCTGACATCCAAAGTAGGTGCCCACAGCCAGATGGTAACATAATAGCTACCCCAAAAACGCAACTAACTTCTTTTGTACTTCTGTAAACTGACCCCATGGAAGTCGACTTCGTTATCTCAAACTTGAAAACTGACAGTGCTCCTGACTGGGACAGTATACACACAAAATTCATAAAAATGGTTAAAACCCTAGTTGTCCCCATTATTACTCATCTAGCCAACCTCTGCTTCAGAAAAGGGATATTTCCGACCCTGCTTAAAAATCTATAGTTACACCCGTCTACAAGGGTGGTAACAAAAAAGATATAACTAATTATCGACCGATTTCAGTCTTTTCGGTTATTTCTAAAGTTATTAAGAGACTAATAAATACACGCCTTATTACTTACCTTGAAAAATTTAATATTTTATCCAGTTCCCAATTTGGTTTCAGAAAAACAAAATCAACAGAAGACGTCATTTCAGGCTTAACCTCCTTAGTAACACAGTATTTAGATCGTGGAAAAAAGTGCCTGACAGTCTTCCAAGATTTAAAAAATGCTTTCGACACGGTGTCGGTCCCCACCCTTGTAAGAATATTGGAAAGTATTGGCATTAGGGGAGTGCCACTAAAACTCCTAACTGATTACCTTAGAGACCGGTCCCAATACGTAAAAATTGACAATTACAATAGTACTGACAATACAATTGAGTACGGTGTTCCCCAAAGTAGTGTCTTAGGTGCTACATTGTTCTTAA